TCTGCATAGACCTAGTAGCCAGAATCCTACACCAGGAGCTCACTCTGAAATACGGCCTCGTGGTTCGAAAACTGCCGTACTACAAGTACTATCCGGAAGCCGTGCTCGAAAATGACCGCGCCAGGCTCTATTGGGACCGGCCCATCATCACGGACAGGACGATTGTCGCGAACAAACCTGATATCGTGGTGATGGACCGGGCACAGTCGCGGGTATTTTTGGTCGACATTACCATTCCATATGACGAAAACCTCGTGAAAGCCGAAACAGATAAGAAGACAAAGTATCTGGATCTGGCTCACGAGGTGACCGACATGTGGGGTGGTGTGCCGACTGAAATTATCCCGATAGTCGTTTCTGCCAATGGGTTAATCCTAGTCAGCCTCTCTAAACATCTGAGGCGACTGGGACTCCGGGACGGATCGCTCCAAGCTCAAATGCAGAAGGCGGTGCTCCTCGATACCAACCGCATCGTCCGCCGGTTTCTCTCCCTTTCGCCCTAACCCTCGGCCGTTTGGTCTCCCCTGCCGAGGGCTTCCGTCTGGTTGGGTCCTATTTATATATGTATTATATAAAATATTTATATATATATATATATGTTTATTTTTATCCATAATATTTATTTTATATATGCAATATATATCTATATTTTTATTTTTATTTATAAACCCAACCAGACGAGAAAACAAATGAATATCCCCCTATAATAATAATAAAATATCTTTATTCACATAGACGCTTGCGCGTTCTTATGAAACGTCAAAATTTTACAAGAAATTAACACGTTCGTAAGTTACCACCGGTTCGGAAAGCAGTTTCTGTTGAGAAGAAACCGGCAAGAAACTCAACAGTTGCTCTTTTTTAAAAAATCTGTTTATAATATAATAGTACAGGTACAATAGTCTTGTTTTAGCCTACGTGAGTATCAACAGTATTAACCCCACACATTGGCGTCGTCAAGATATTCGGCAATAGTATAATAGGCTTTAGCCATAAGTGTACTCTTAATTTTTCGTTTAAACTCATCAAGTGGCAGACTTAACATCGACTGTGGGATTTTATTATACATGCGCACACTTTGCCCCATGAACGATCTGTTTACTTTTTGTAGGCGAAATAATGGCGTAGTTAGTTTGTCCTTATTTCTAGTATTTAGTTTATGTCTGTCACTATTCTTTTGATAATTATTAATATTCTGTTTAACATACAAAATATTACAATAAATATATTGAGACGCAACAGTGAGTATATTAATCTCTTTAAAAAGATCTCTGAGTGTATTCCGGGCTCCGATGTTATAAATTGCTCGGACAGCTCTTTTTTGAATAATAAATATTGAATTTATATCAGATGCACTACCCCACAACAAAATGCCGTACGACAAGACGCTGTGAAAATAACTGTAGTAAACAAGTCTGGCAGTGTCGATGTCTGATAGCTGCCTAACCTTCCTAATTGCAAAAACAGCGGAGCTTAACCTATTCGCAAGAAATTTAAATTGTTTATAGTGCTAATCTTTGCACTTAAGATTGAACATTAAAATATGTAGAAAAAGTGCGAAAAGATTGTCGCCGCTGTGGGAATCGAACCCACGTCTTCGGCATTCGCGGCCTGACGCTCTAGCCACTGAGCTTTTTCTACATATTTTAATGTTCAATCTTAAGTGCAAAGATTAGCACTATAAACAATTTAAATTTCTAAAAAAAGCAATGGCGACATCTCTCGTTCGAATTATCGTTGTAAAACGATATTCAAAGTTGTTTGTATGCTGGAAAGGATATAACAATAGATGGCGCCAAGCATTGCTTCAAATGCTAAGAAAACACAATGTAGAAGAATGCGTTAAGATTTTCGTCGGTGTGGTAATCAGCCGTTTAGCTCAGTGGCTAGAGCGTCAGGCCGCGAATGCCGAAGACGTGGGTTCGATTCCCACAGCGGCGACAATCTTTTCGCACTTTTTCTACATATTTTAATGTTCAATCTTAAGTGCAAAGATTAGCACTATAAACAATTTAAATTTCTAAAAAAAGCAATGGCGACATCTCTCGTTCGAATTATCGTTGTAAAACGATATTCAAAGTTGTTTGTATGCTGGAAAGGATATAACAATAGATGGCGCCAAGCATTGCTTCAAATGCTAAGAAAACAATGTAGAAGAATGCGTTAAGATTTTCGTCGGTGTGGTAATCAGCCGTTTAGCTCAGTGGCTAGAGCGTCAGGCCGCGAATGCCGAAGACGTGGGTTCGATTCCCACAGCGGCGACAATCTTTTCGCACTTTTTCTACATATTTTAATGTTCAATCTTAAGTGCAAAGATTAGCACTATAAACAATTTAAATTTCTAAAAAAAGCAATGGCGACATCTCTCGTTCGAATTATCGTTGTAAAACGATATTCAAAGTTGTTTGTATGCTGGAAAGGATATAACAATAGATGGCGCCAAGCATTGCTTCAAATGCTAAGAAAACAATGTAGAAGAATGCTATTCGCAAGAGATGATAGATGGGGACTCCATTGGAGCTTTGAATCTACTGTGATTCCCAAGAATACAGCGGACTCAACAGGATTAAGGGTTACGCTATTCAATTTTAAGCTAAAACTTTGCCTTCTTACGTTGGGAAGGGCAAAAAAGAAGGCATTTAGTTTTTTTAGCATTTAACACCATATTATTAATGGTAAACCAGTGGAGGATACGCGAAAGTGCACTATTCACGTCGTCACAATTCGATACATTTCGGTCAACCCTAAAAATAAGCGATGTGTCGTCAGCAAACAGTACAACATCACATAACTCACTGGCATAGAAGGGGAGATCATTTATATATACTAAGAATAATAATGGGCCCAAGATCGATCCTTGTGGGACACCCATTTTCATGGGGGACCCTGCGGAATTTACATCATTTATAGATACTTTTTGAATTCTATTATTAAGGTAAGAAGCAATGAGATTGAGGGCGATATCACGAATGCCATAATAATCAAGCGTTAGAAGAAGGGTTTTGTGATCCACGCAGTCGAAAGCTTTTGAAAGGTCGCAAAAAACACCTATTGCATCTTGCGACCCTTCCCGGGCGTTATAAATATGTTTGACAAGTGCGATACCCGCATCTGTTGTCGATCTGCCTTTAGTGAATCCATATTGCTCATTGTGAAAAATTTTGTTCATATTAAGATGTACTAAGAGCTGATTTAAAATTAGTTTTTCAAAAATTTTACTCAGAGATGGCAATACGGAGATAGGTCTGTAGTTTCCTGGATCATTTTATCCCCACTTTTGAAGACGGGGATTATCTTACTAAATTTCATAAGATCTGGAAATATTCCAGAATCTATGCAGTTGTTAAAAATATTAGCTAAATGTGGTGCAATATATGGCATTATTGTGGTCATTAATTTTATGGACATGCCCCATAAATCCCCTGTATTCTTAAGATTAATAGAATTCAAAACTTTTATAATATCATAAGTATCTACGTGATTAAATTTAAATGTGTGTGGACAAAAGGTAACATTATTTCTTAGAACGTTAATTGCATCTATGGGAGATGATTTTAATGTACATGTGACATTAACTGCAATTTCTGAAAAATAGCTTTCAAAACTACTTGCAATTTCATTATCTGATGTTATGGGAGTATTACCTATAACCAGTTTTTATAGGTTCCCTGAATATCTTGGGTCTTCCAGATATACGGGTAATGATGTCCCATGTGGCTTTAATTTTATTGTTTGAATTTATTATTCTATTTCTTATATGAATAGATTTTGCCTGAATACAGACTTTTTTAAATATTTTTGAGAACATTTGTACCCTTTTATGAAAGTTGGGGTCATGATTCCACTGCCTCATATTATATAATTCATACAGTGAATCCCTACTTTTATATGTACCCACTGTTGCTCAGTCACTAAATTTTAATTTTGAATTTTTAACAATTGTGCGCGATTTAAATATATCATTATAAGAAGATATGAGAAAGTTAACCATTGATTTATAAGAATCATTAGGATTATTGACTTCTATATCTTTATTTAACATATGATGTGCCACTTTGTCTTTAAAAGAATTTATTCTATTAGTAGTGACTGGTCTACACGTGGCGAGGTAACCGATTGTGTCAGATGCGAAATCGTGAGCAGATCTCCCCGCGTGGTCGGTGGTACGAGATCTAAGCCACTCGGCGTGATGAGCGTTAAAGTCGCCGAGAATTACGATCTCCGCGGATGGGATCTGCTGCAACACGGAATCTGTAGCCATTTGTGTGCTCAAAGAGCCGGTCAGTTTCACGAGACCACACGCGTAGATTCACGGATGGTCGTCGCAGTCTACGCGTAGCCAGAGTATGGATAGGTCCAGCCCTTCAAGAGTGTCGAGGCCTCGAGAGAGTGTATGTTTGTGATATATGAATTTGCATGTATATATTCATCGATGCATGTGACATTGGAATTGCGAGTGTGCGTTATCGGATATAATATGTACATGATCATTTATCATCGTACAATAAAAGAAAATTATGTAAGATAAACCTGTCCTCGATTATATTTTGAAACATTATTCCTTAGGTATGTTTCCTTATTTTTTACAATTTACTCATTGTAATTAATAAACTAACAGCAATTAATTTACTAGAGAAATAAATTAAGTGTATAATCCGTTAAGTATTTAATAATTTTTTCATAACACAATCAACAATATGATCACTAAATGTACACAATGTAATGTATATATATATATATTTCATTTCGGTTTTCATTTCGCAATTAAAGTGATAAAGACTTATTTTTTAAGACTGCGCTGCCCTTTTACCTCAGTATTTTAAATAAAAAAAGTGGTATTAACTTAAACAAATATATACAAGCCTTTTATTTTTATTGTATTACTGATTTCTGTTATCGCTGTGACTATAGACATTCTTGACGCAACATAGATACATACATATATATGGCGATATCAGCCTTCACAGCGTCATTCCAAAAATTATGTTCGTGCGTGAGACATGTTGTTGTCAGTGATTTTATTGATAATTATCGTATACGCTCTAACTTATGCCTACATAAAGTTAACGATCGGTATTTGTAAATGTAGTACACACTTAGTGGGCAAGGTGGTTATTGTGACTGGTGCAAACGCCGGCATCGGTTATGAAAGTGCTAAAAATTTCGCAGAAAGAGGTGCGCGTGTGATTATTGCATGCAGAAACGATAGCCGTGGCAACACCGCTAAGGATAGTATTATTAAAACTACAGGCAACGTCGACGTGCACTACAGACAGTTAGATTTCGCTTCGTTATCATCCGTTAAGCGGTTCGCCGACGAAATCATTAAAAATGAAACGCGCCTCGACGTCCTCGTCAACAACGCTGGCATCAACGGATCGTTTAACGTCAAAACCGAAGACGGCTTATTACTCGGAATGCAAACCAATTACTTCGGGCCATTCTTGTTAACCTGTCTCTTGCTGCCTTTGATCAAGTCGAGTGCCCCGAGCCGTATCGTGAATGTTGCTTCGATGGCGCACGGACGCGCTTATCTCGATTTGGATAATCTGAATATGGAAAAGGAGACGGAAGAAACATTTAGCAAGGCCAAGGTTTACGCCGTATCAAAACTATGTAATGTACTCTTCTCTCTTGAACTGAGTAGGCGCCTCAAGGGAACTAATGTTACCTCGAACAGTCTTCATCCGGGTGTCGTTGATACAAATATTTTAAACGGAATCGAATCTAAGCTACTGCAGGGTCTGAAGCCGCTTATGAAACCTTTCTTTAAGAATCAATGGGAAGGAGCTCAAACAACTATTTATCTATCAGTGTCCCCTGAAGTAAAGGACGTAAGCGGAAAATACTTCCGAGATTGTCAAATGGTAGATGTGAGCACAGACCAAGCTCGGGACCCCGAACTGGCTCGGAAACTTTGGGATGTGTCACAGAGACTCCTAAAATTTAAATAAATATACTAACTTAATTTAATCTCCACGACTTGGGTTCAGAAATGACATGTTTAGTCATTCAGGTGTTCCTTGACATGTTACATTACATTAAACAACATATACTTATTAGTTTAACAGAGTGGTTTTTTAATCCTCAACAATGTACGATTAACGGTTCTGCATATATTTATCGCAGCTAAATGTACTTAAGATTACGATAATATTTTATTGTCTTGATAAGGTTAGGTTTACGTTACATTTCGTTTACTTAATGCATAAGGCACTTTTATAATATAAATATACAAGAAAGCAGACGCTAGTAGTAAGTCTTTTAGTTTTTATGTATCTTTGTCTGTGATAATATGTATTAAGTAGTTTTTTCTCTAGACATTAACACTACCACCATCATTCTTTCTACAAATTTTAATAATAATCGTATTTAACTGTACCTTCTGCAGCCCGGCTTGGAAATAAATATTTTTTTCTCCTGTAAACATACACAAAATGACCGAAATTTATCCAATTATGACGACGTAAATAGTGCACTTTCGCATATCCTTCACTGGTTCACGATAAATAATATGGTATTAAATGCCAAAAAAACTAAATATATTCTTTTACTCTTCCTAGTGTGAGAAGGCAAAGTTTTAGTTTATTTTTAAATAACGTATCCCTCAAGAGTAGGCTAAGCTCCGCTGTTTTTGCTATTAGGAAGGTTAGACAGCTAACAGACATCGACACTGCCAGACTTGTTTACTTTAGTTATTTTCACAGCATCTTGTCGTACGGCATTTTGTTGTGGGGTAGTGCATCTGATATAAATTCTATATTTATTCTTCAAAAAAGAGCTGTCCGAGCAATCTATAACACCGGAGCCCGGGATACACTCAGAGATATTTTTAAAGAGATTAATATACTCATTGTTGGGTCCCAATACATTTATTGTAATATCTTGTACTTTAGACATAATCTTAATTGTTATCTAAAGAATAGTGACAGACATAAATTAAATACTAGAAATAAGGATAAATTAATTAGACCATTGTTTCGTCTAAAAAAAGTAAATAGATCGTTCATGGGGCAAAGTGTGCGCATGTATAATAAAATCCCACAATCGGTATTAAGTCTGCCACTAGACGAATTTAAACGCAAAATTAAAAGCGAACATATGGCTAAGGCATATTATACCATTGCAGAATATCTTGACGACGCCAATGTGTGGGGTTAATGCTGTTGATACTCACGTAGGCTAAAATTACATACTTGTTCTATTGTAAACTAATGGTTTTAAAAAAGAGCAACTGTTGAGTTTCTTGCCGGTTTCTTCTCAACAGAAACTGCTTTCCGAACCGGTGGTAACTTACGAACGTATTAATTTTTATGTAAAATTTTTGACATTTCATAAGAACACGCAAGCGTCTATGTGAATAAATATATTGTTGATTTGATTTCATTTTGATTTATTCACGAATCTCAGTAAAGTTCCCACCGTTCGAACGAATAATGGCAACTTGCTGGTGGGTGAGAAATATTTCAATGGTTGGTGGAGCATATGCGTTTACCTCATGTGGATGGTAGCTGGCGGGAGAAAACCTCTCAAGGCTGTGGCGATGCCGTGCTTCGTTTTAACCATACCCTTGGGGTGAGCAGTGACTCATAACGCGCTCTGCAACGAAATGTCGTGCTAACCTTGTAATTGGTGGTGATGCCAAAACAATAACAATCACGGCTGCAGTCGCGGCGATCTGGCAAAAGTGGTGGCGCTTACGGCGGGCTTATTATATCATAGGGCCAGAGTGCCTGATCTTTAACACATGCCCAAAACCGTATTGACATACATTCACGAAGACTGGATTTGTCGTCGGCTTGTATGACGTTTACACGCATTGACATGCGCGACTTCGGTCAGAGTTTGTGCTTACGCACTGCCAAGGGGCCAAGCCCTCTTTATGCTGGTAAAACAGCTTTGCAATGGACTTCGGTCCTTTCCCCGCCTTTTTCCCTCTTCTGGGGGGCGGGGGGGGCGCAATATGTTGGTTGGCGCTCACCGCACACGGCGTTGGTGAGAGTTTTCATGGAGCCGTATGCCTTCCCTACATTTTTTATAAAATGTGGGGGAGCTGTTGACTTGTATCGGGTATGTAAAATTGATGTGAGTAGGGACCACTAAATATTGATGACCCGGTAGGGCACCCATAATACTATATACTCTGAGCCCGTCTCAAGTGAATCGGGGTTAGTTAATAAGAAAGCAATCTGACATTTTATCTGGTTTATACCACAACTAGTGAATATTTATCTTTCCAAGATACACCTAAAGAATCAAGTTACTAAATAAACACAACGTAAATAAGGTCCTACCGAACATGACGATCAAAATAATATTTCATACGGCTAATTATTACCTTTAGAAAGATCCTATAGAAAGATCAATAAATTATCCTGGTCACATAATGATGTTATATGATTTATTCATATAATGGGGTAGAAATATATAATGTTATATAATTATATGTACGCAAAAAAATGAGGGGGGGTCAGTTACACTGTGTAGCCGTAAATATAGGTACGTATGGGCCACACATACATACACAATCAGGTCTTTTATTTTGGTTTCACCGCAGCGAGGTAGAATTTATTAGGCTCTAACAGTTTGACAAATAAAAAGTATTATTTTACGACACAAGAGGTAATTTTCAAACTACATGCGTGGGCACGGTTTAACCGACAACGCTTAAATGAAAAATACGAAAGCCAGTCCAGTCAAAATTGATGATTCTTAGATTATCTTACTTAAGACATATACAGATATAAATTATAATTTATGATTATATAGAACCATTAGACAGGGAGTGAAAGTGGTTGAAACGTTGAGAATTTAATATCAAAATAAAACGCGATTAATTTCGTAAAATAATTTTATCTAACCAAATTCAAACTAAAATTCAAAACATTGACTTGTAGCCGTTGCAAATGCAGCAAACACCTATTGGTCAAATGGTTTTTTTTGGGCTTGATGAGCCACTGTTGGCCTTAGGGGCCTTTACAGTTTCGCCGGACTTCAGGTGGCCGGGCGCTCGGGGCGCCTAGCCTGAACTTCGGCGCATTATTATTTACGCATTATGTTGACTAAGCTCGAGGGCTCCCGAAGAAGCCTCGTCTCGGGCCGTCACGCTATTATTATCATTACCGGTTTGGAAGACCATCAAGCTCTTACGGGGCTTTGGTGGACGCTCCATGGAGGGACTAAGCTCAAGGGCCCCCGAGAGGGGACCTCATCTTGGGCTGTCACTCAATACCCATTTAGCATTCCGATTCGACGGTTCCCGCAAGGGCTGGACCTCGGCTCGATCGGTAGCTATTATCTGACTGGGAGAATTTCTAGGTCTATAATAACTACCACTTGTAAAAGCGTTGGCGCTGGGAGAAGAAGTGGCGGATGAAACTCCAGCAACGCTTCTATCATTAATAGGGGAAAACCTGCCAGGTGCGTGGCGGAACCTAGTATATGTTTACCGCACTCGCCGGCGAGTGCAGTGTGATCTGGTGTATTCGCGTAATTGTTTTATCTTGTCGATGGCGATAGTCGTCTCATCTTCAGGGAATTTACAAGAGATAAAACATACTATTAGAAGGAGAGATTTGTAATGCGACGCTGTGGTCACGAATGAAAAAGTCTCTGAATGTATAAATCAGTCAGTTGTAGTTGTATAGGATGTTACAAATTTTGTATATTTAATTAGTTTGTTTGAAAAATATTTTTTTAATTATGGATTTTTTTAACGTTTATATTTTTTATGATTATTGGCAAGTAGCGTTAGACGTGTGTTCATTTATCGTCGCGGTTGTAACGACAAGCTGTATATATATACATATATAGTGTTTGAACGAGTACTACCGACTTAGTCTTGTCTTTTATCTTAGCGTGTATATTGTGTCCATATTGCAATTTTCTTACGGTTGACCTGGTTCACTTCCAAACGTAAACGAATGACGTCATAAATTGTATATCAAAATTATTAGTTAATAAATAAAATTAGTAGCTATTAACTACTAATTTTACTTTAAATTGGAAGAAGTGGTAAGAGAAGCAACTGTTCTCGACGCTTTGATCATTGAAAAAACGGACTCTTACGCGGTTGAATTAAAAAGTTTGACTCACCTTTTCAATACGTCCAAGAAAATAAAACCGACTAAGCATCACGTTCGACCGCTCGGCGCGGCTCTGTTATCTTTAAATCACTTGGGAGAAACGAGAACAAACACTCGTATACAGGGCATTCACGGCATCGGATGAGTTCGAAATCAATCGTAGTTCAATTTACGAGAGGCTGAAAAGATTGTCGGCAAACGCAATTTTGGCGGCTTCAAAACTATATGACTTCACAGCATTATTACATAGCGTTCATTTTTAGTAATGTGTGGACTAAACAAAAACACTAAAAAAAATTGATTTTAATTTGAGAATATAATTCTTTTTGATTGAATTAGTTTTAGAGGTTTTTAGAGGATCTTAGCTTTCTAGAGAATGTAACTCACGATCGCAATTCTGGGATTCGAATTCTTCATCCAACTCTCCATTTGAATCTACGAACATACCTACGAACAAAAAAGTGTATTCGTTATATATACCCGGAATTACTGACAGGTTAGCGTCATCAAATTGTAATTACAAATTATGTCTATTTGAACTAGTTTTTTTTTTTTTTAAATTTAAATATTTTCGGACACATTTTTACACAATGTTCTCTAGTACCAAACTAAACAACGCGTAATGTAACATACTTTTCTTTTGTAAATAGTATATATTACTAAATATTAGTAGTGGGGATCTAACTCACACCCTCTGGAGTCAGAGGCCGGTTCACTACTCCCCACGCCAATCGGGTCGTCAACTGTTCCATGTGTGACAGCTTTTATTTTTTCCAAATCAGATTTCGAACCTCGCTAGATTCTATTAAAACGTCTATTTTGTAAAATCTCTATTTTTCTCCATTTTATAGAACGCAGGAAAAAAA